ATGTATTTTTAACAAAAAGACGAATATATCTCATGAATCTTATATAGTGTTGTTGTTGTCAACTTTTCCCGCGGTTTTAAGTAGGTCAACAGTGACTATGCGATGTCAGAGAGAGCTCCGTCAGTTAAAATCTCTTAAGAGATTTTAACAAAAAACCGTACGTTTAGGAAAAAAACCCTGGATTAACTTTGAATGCAGGAATGGGGTCGCTGACCATTGGTAAGTACGGGAAAATTGCCGTTTACTCCAGGAAAATCCAATTTTTGGCCAAAATGAAGAGTTATTATGACTTTAAACAAAGGAGCCCAATAAATCCTACGGCACCCGAAATAACCCGGTCCCCAAGCTCTGACACCATTTATTAACACACTATTTGAATTTATCACATGCCATGTAATAAAAAATTGGATCCCACTAAGGCCTCTCTAAGATTTACCACCCAAATTTTAAAAATACATATTCAACAATTCATTTTTCAATTTACATGAGAAGGAAGTCTCGCAACTATCAAATGAAATTTTCATACACTTTTGCCAATGATTACCAATGTATTCTGAAAAAAAAATCAATGAACATTCCAGACCTACCAACCTGTCCCCCCTGCTTTCCCTCACCCTTTGGTTCACTTATTCTAGGTCCATACCTGAGCAGCTTACCTGTGCAATAGAAGTCTAATTAATGCCTCTGTTATCAGGGCTCACTGATAAGCCACTGGTGGAGGACTGCCCCCCCCCCCCCTCCTTAAATAAGACTGCTCTAAACTTTACTCTGAAACTAAGTTGCATTTTATAAAGAATCTAAAAGTCTATTAACCCTTTTTTCAGCAATCTAAGTGAAAAAACTTACAATTCCTTGCTCATAAAATACCTGAGAGAAGGGTTAAAGGGGGGGGGCTAAATTGAGGTCATCGAGCAGAAAAAAAATTATTTCTCAGCCTGCGATAGTAAGTCTGTCTACAGAAAGGCAACGTATCAAAATGATGCTGACAGTGGGTGGAAAAACAGGGAGAAGATTGACTCGACATGATCTCCATAGTGTTATCAGCAACTGCATTGTTCACACCTATCGTGAGAACACAATCACATCCCCAGATAACCATGCTCCTGCTCTCAACAGGCACAGTGTGGGTCAGATCTTCACCTAAAGATACATATCTCTGTATAACAATGTATACTTCACTAGTACAGTTTTTATACTAAATACTAAAAATATTCTCATTGTCTTGAGGAGAAAAAAGGAGAAGGTTTGAACAATATTTGCTTGGATGTGATGGATTCTCTCTCTCTCTCTCTCTCTCTCTCTCTCTCTCTCTCAGCTTAAATAGCCACCAGTTTTACAATGCAAAACCTTATATTCACTCTTCAATAAGGTGGACTTTTACTGGACTGGTGACAGTCCACTCACTATGACACAGTATTTCATGTTCCAGTGTCAGTTTAATTGCCACCCAAATATTGAATGCACCTAAAACTCCCCTGTAAACACCAAGTGTGTCAGGTCCAGTTTAATCCTGTCAAGTTACAATTAATGGATGTGGTTTAGATAAGATAGAAACAATCAAGAACAAATTAAGGCTGTCACCTCTTGTTAAGAGAAGTATGGAAATTGAAGGGCAGTGGTTAAGGTTTAGGTGATGAAGGTTATAAGGTTATGTTTTCATAAGCACTCAGTACACTAATAGTATAATTCTTTAAAAAAAGTTTTTGACACATATTTTCTAGTGCTTTAATTCCCTTCACAAATAAGATACTTTAAATATTGAGAAATATATCCATAGAAGCACTGTTATTTAGTTTATCTATTTAACACCCCCTTTCTCACAATTCTCTAGAGGAATTTGTATTTCAAGCAATGTATCTCGATACATGTGAATAACAAATGCTCGTTGACATATCATGCTTCCGACAACATGTTAATGTTCCCAGGAGACAAATCATTTAACAATTTCCAACACCTGTGCATTTGTGCATTGGAGAAAATCTTATCAACATATCAGTGGTACTTTGAATTTGGGATACAAATGTACCTATCCTTCGTTTTAAAATGATTAAGCCATCTGAGCTTGTTCGACAGCCTTGTTTTATTACTAAATAGCATATTAGGGAGTCATTTGTGTCCAATCTAGGTCTTGGATCAAGTAGAAAAGTCTGTATTCAGTAAGTGTTACCAAAAAGAACATGGGAAGTAGATAGATTAAAACAGGGTCGCAATTGCTCCTCCCTTTCTGACAAAATAAAGTCAAGATAGCTATGTTCTTGTAAGTTCCAATATATATGATTTTCCAAAGCATACATTTAAGCAAATTCTACCTATTATTTCAATCTGCTAGATTCAACTTGAGTAAATTTTAATAACAGGAACAGAGACATGTGCAGGTAGAGACAACCAGGATAAAACGACAATGTGCAATTTCCTTTTAAAAATCATGGAAAATTCAAGTTTGTCATCACTCCTCATTATTTGACTGGAATTTTACTTCAGATTTCTTTTTTCAAAAACATTAGCAAAAGTACGATTTATCAACTACATATCATGACATCATGATATGAACTTACCAGTACTGTTTTCCTGTACTACGCTATCCACAATGGCGGCAATGGGAGACTGATATTCGGCACTTCCAGACACCACCTCGTCCCAGCGTAATCTCTGAACTCCCTGTTCCACTGCCAAGAGGCAATGGCGGAGCACGACACGCAAATTACTCCCATCATCCTTCAGTGTATATATCCCAGACATCTTGAATAAATTGCGGACGTCTTCAATACTGATATCCTGAAGTTGATCATTTGGTGAGGAGTATCGCAAAACTAATCCAATATCGGCACTGTTGTTACTGCTGGAGCTGTCTTTACGGTTGCTGTTGTCGTTTTCAATAACATCAACGCTGTCTTTAATATTGCATTTTAAACAAAGGTAAAAGTCACCGTCCCGTAGTAAGTTCCTAGGTGGATCGTTTAAGTGGATAATGACACAGTTTTCCCAGCACAACGGCCAGCCTTTATGTGCACTTGCCAAGTGAGTGGAAATATTAGCCTGCAAAGAACGAAAGAATAAGATTTATCAAATGTCTCTCTCTCTCACATCATAATACATTCCTTGATTCTAGATTGTCTGCCTAAAGTCACCTTTTTTTACCCCTCCTCTACACTGATGTTCTTGATACAGACAGTGCAAGCCTGGGCCTGAAATTAATAGTTTGTTTTACATACTTCAAGTTAAGAACAAGAAAAATCAGAATAAGCACCAAATTCAACACTATTGCTCTTTATCAGTATTCTGTTGGAAACAGTATCTAAAACAACACTAATAACAACAACTACAACTGTTACAATAAAAATAATTGATCATCCAATTTCAATTCTGTTGACATAGAATTCAGTTCAATTATATCATTTTATTCATAAAAATTACATCCTAAGAGCAACCGAACAACATATCAAACAAATAAATAAAACCCTGTAGCCTTTACTTTCCATGTTACTTATCATAACAGGATTCATATTGAGTATTAGCATGTCAACTTCACATAACCTACTACATTAGGACAAACAGGGATAATATTATTGCACAGATCTGTAAAATGAACTCTTTAAAAATGTTGCACGGATGTTCTATGTTGCACTTCTCCATATTTGGTAACTAGTATTTGGGAACTCTGCGGCAATTTACCCTCCTTGAGAATTATTCAACCTATGTTTCAGTTATTACTAGAAACTAATCTCTACAGTCAGTTGAAATGATCATTTCTCAGTAGTCTTTGAGACTTGAGATGAAACTAGTGTGTTTACTTGCAATTTTCCTCTTGAACATTACTGGTGAAACCCATTGAATCATCAAGCAGAGAAGATGAGTAAATACGACCATTAACCCACTTAGCGTCAACTTTTGCCAACTTAATCAAATCTTAATGAGAAGCCTACATTGCAATGATTCCGTCATCAAATGTAAGAAATGGAAATCATCTGATCAACAAGTGAGCACTTCTTATATGTGTACATTAACATCTAAAAACACGTACACACATGCACGCACATTCGTGCACACACCCACACACAGTGGTATTCATTTGATATGACTGATGAATGCAAATAACTTCACATTCTCCATCTAATAATGAGAACCTGTATGTGCTGCATTCATTAAAACTTAAATCACATCTTTCCTCAGCCATCATAAATCATATACCTTATACCTTGTAAGTGGTTTTTCACCTGACTTTAAAGGCACGGCTCTATTTTTTGTGTCTCTTAAAGGTGAACAATATTAATAAACTGCACTACAGCTTCTATCCATCACAGTCACTTTAGTGTACACCAACCAGTTAAATTAGAAAACTCCTTTAGAAGGTCACAAATATCCAGCAAAGTTATTCCTATAATAATATTCCACAACCATTGGATAAGAAAAATATCTAAAAAGAAATACCTTGGAAACCACAGAAGAGAAAAAGGCACCTATCCAGGGGCGGATTTAGGCCGTCTTCTGGGTCTTCCGGAAGACGGTCAGATTTTTAAGTTTACATTGACGGGTATCTAATAATTTCTGTCGGAAGACGGGCAGAAATTGAGGACGAATTAACAGAGATAATTTGGAAGACTGTCAGAAAATATCTCTGGATCCGCCCCTGCCTATCTCCCAGCCAGCCTGAGTGGGACAAGGTCTTCTCTCAGAGACAGAGTCATCTCTTGGTAACAATTCTGACTGGACTCAACTTTTACAGTACTACCAGTAATGTAATAAAAATCTTAGACAAGTGTGGTGCAGTATAATATTAGAACTATTACCAATTACAGGGGCGGATTTAGGGGGTCTTCTGGGTCTTCCGGAAGACGGTCAGATTTTCAAGTTTACATTGACGGGTATCTAATTATTTCTGTCGGAAGACGGTCAAAAAATGGAGGATGGATCAACAAAGATAATTTGGAAGACTGTCAGAAAATAACTCTGGATCCGCCCCTGAATTATATGACAGGCTTGAAATCTAATACTGTTCTTCTTGTCTAACCAATTTCTTTCCTAGGTATCATATAAGGCAGGAAAAACCATCTTTGCTTTCAAATGTCAAATAAAACGTACATGTACAAGTCAGTCCACTATATCACCTACAGCACTGATAGTGAAACCTAAGTCTCGTGTCTCCTCAAATGTCCTTACACAGGTTTTATATGTCATCAACAACATGTAGTTTACCCAATGCTTTGCCTGCTGTTTATCCTGCCTAGCCTTGCATTTCTCACAGCAATTTTCGTGTCAAAAGAGACGCCGTAGAGATGACACTGGCAAGCATTGTCCCCTTCACAAATCTACCTGTTAGGTCTTGTAAACTGATCACCTTGGTGTGACACACATGTATTTGGATCAGATGTCAAATTGGGTATATATTACCTCGCCCAGAGTCTCATTAATGATGCTTGATTAAGTAAAGGGATAGGTCTGGCCTCCTAAATGATAGGATCTGTCAACATTGACCCCAGACTTACAGGGAAAGGGAGGCAAATTTGACCATCTGTCATTCCAGGTGATAGACACCTGCAATTTTCATATCAGTGTCAATTTATAAATGTAATCCTATGAAAGTACAATTCTCCATATGGCATTAATAAGGCTGAATAGATCTACAAATATTATCCAGGTCATCTATATTTCATTTTTTTAGTCCCATCTGTTATTCCTTTTTTTTTTTTGCCTTACTGGTCTCTCTCTCTCTCTCTCTGTTCAGACTTGCCATCAATTTCAAAAGAAAGAGAGACAAGGTATTTCAACCAGACCACAACAAACAGTTTACTCCTTTTCTTGCCCACCTGTTGTCACAGTTAACAAGTTTTTCAACTTACCTGTTGTGTTTTCAAACCTTAGATTAACACAACAACAACCGCCATGGCTATGCATGGATCAGAGCAGAAAGAAAAAACCCAAAACATCCTCATATTCCATTATAGGTCACTATCATACTCGGTTCTTCAAACCTTAGTTATGAAATTACTGTTGAGGCAAAGTAAATCAGTAGAAGGCGAACTTTTAAATCAAAGCTGAACGTAAAAGCCACTGTTCTCTCTGAATAGGTCCCTATACACACTCCTGTGGTAGTCAACAAGCAGGTGTAAGGTATGTGTCAGAGTACACAAATGGAGAGGGAGAGGGAGAGAGAGGTGACTTAACTTTAACTCTCCTGTCCCGTTCCACCTGTCACCTCAGAGGAATAATTCATGTCACATGTTGTAACACCTTGGAAAAGTCTGAGTCACCCTGAGGTGCTATGTAAGGTGACAATGTCACATGTATACTAAACCGTCAAAATGTGCACTGTATAGATGTGTGTTGTAAGCCTTATGTGACAATGACATTAAAGTGACAATGAGGGAAGTGTCAGTTTATGAAAGGGACATCCCAAGTTTACTCCTCCATAACATCTATGTCCTCGATGAAAAAATCTTGTGCCTTCTGTTCTTTCCAGTTGATTTTAAGACAGTCAAGATAAAATGGAGCAGCTAGGCTTTTTTTTCAAGTTCTATTTCTTTTAGGGATAAGAAATACAGAAGTTTTGAGGAGGGGGGGGAGTGTTACAGAGACTCTTTAATAGATGAAACATTTAACCGTCTAGTAACACTGTGAACCAGACATCATCAAGGCCATAAAAACATGGTGAAAATATTATATCTGTTGCTCTAAATACACCAAATGAACAAAGAAATACCACATGAGGTGTCACTATATGACAAGGTCACAATGACATTAAGTCCATCAACTGTGGATGGAAACAAGAATTTATAGAAATGAAATATCTAAGGCATGGTACTGCAAGTATTGTTGATTTTGATTCAGAATACGCTGTGGCAAAATTATATTACACTGTTGTATAGTTGCTTAAAAAACGTGCAATGTTGCAGCCATGAAAAAAAAATGCAAACTTGATTCCACTTCCTGGATTACCTTATACATGATGTCTGCTTAAAAAAAAAAAAAAAAAACTTTCACACCAAGCTACATAGAAATGCCATTATTTTCACCTATAATACCCAGTGTCCTTACATTCAGAATAAGTAAAGCAGACTTGAAGAAATATAGTGTTCAAACACTGTCAACCTAATTTCCAATGTACATAACTCTCTTTTATGCAATAATCCCTTGGCAATTCTGATCAAAATTGCCATAAGAGCACTAATCTATATGCCGCAGTCCTCCACTTTCAAAACCTGCATTGTCACTTGAGTAAAAACATTGTTATCTGTGACTTTTAAATGCCCCTTTCACACCCGATCCACTATTGTGAGACGAACAGACGTCAATCGTTAATATTCTAGTCTGCTGTCACTGTACAAACACGACAACACAGTATTCTGACCCACTACTTCACCAATTCAAATGTACAGAACAAGAGGACACTTGATGTTGTAAGTTTAAACACTATGAAAAAAACTTAATCTTACAATTTTGAGCTTCATTTTCTACATGTCTCAGACTCCCACCCTGCGTCTTACCCATGATCCAATTTAAAATGTGGGCAGATTTCAGCTGTTCAGCTACGGAGTTCTTCTGCTTGTCATACAGACACCACTAAAAGCCAAACATCAATTATCACTCCTGTCAAACTCGTGTCTTACCAACAAGAGATTCTCTCATCCACCAAAATCCAAGCCACTGAAAACTTTAAGCAATGAATCCGTCTTACCTGACACCAGAGTCAAACCAATAATGCGACCAGATCAATAAAAACAAGCCAAAATGTCACCACAAGTCCCCAGCCCTTCTGTGTCACCCAACTGTCTGTGTCACCAAACTCCTTTCCAGTTCAATACTCAGTAGTGTGCACCCCGATGACACTACAATAACAACAACAATAACTCTGTTCCTCTTTGATGTCCTGCTGTGTCAACACATTAGCCTGGACTACACACACAGTGTTGAAACAATGCTGCGTGATATACAGATACAAAGCACATCCTGCCACCAGTGTGTGAGTTGAGAAACGCTATAGGGGTTGCACCTTGGGTGTTAATGAATAATCTTTTTTTAAGCATGTGTACGTATATGTG